AGATAGATAGATAGATAGATAGATAGATAGATAGATAGATAGATAGATAGATAGATAGATAGATAGATAGATATAGATTAGAAGATAGACGACAGATGAGATACATAGATAGACAGACATAATAAGAAAACAAAAACAGACATAATATTGTATATGTTAGGAGATTGAATTAATTCTGTGACACATACTGCAGAATTAATCCAATCCCCTCTCATATACAAAACCAAGTGTTTTCTTTCTTCTTTTCCCAGGCTCACAGATCTTTTAACAAAAATTGAATAAACAGTTACAACAAAATCAAATGAATTAAAAGGATAAGAAGGAAGGTAGTTATTATGCTGATTATATTGCATTACACATTATGTAAGTTCATAATGGTTAAATCCTATTCTCTGGTTATAACCTTTCTCTCTGTCTATCTATCCTCTGTATCTGGTAATTTCATACAGAATTTTGTTGGTGGGTTTGTCTCTACCTAAATATTAAATATGTAGATAATAAAATAGATAATTGATAAATTTGAATAATATGACAAAAATAGATTGCAAAGTTCTCCTAAAGGACAACTAGATTTCTGCTTGTTCACTTTAGAGCATGGGTGTCAAACTCAAGGCCCAGGGGCCAGATCCGGCCCATGAGGTGCTTAGATCTGGCTCAAGGGCTGCCCTGGAAACAGTGAAGGACTGGCCTGTAGTGCCTCTACCAGTGAAAAGGGAGCTCGGGAGGGCCGCATTTTCACTAGCAGAGCATTGCAGGAGGCCATCACAGACCAAAAGAGAGCCTGGGAGCCCGTTTTCTCTGGCAGAGAGCTCGGTTCACCACAGGAGCCAACAACATGAGTGACGTCGAGCTGGCCATGCCCGCCAGGGCCATTGCCACCACAGCCCCCAAGGTCAAACAGACCCTGATGCAGCCCTCAATGAAAACGAGTTTGACACACCTGCTCTAGGGTATATCTCACTGAACTTGGCAAGACTTCCTTCTGGATATGCAACTATAAGTTGTAATTATAGCTGACAACAAATTTCAGACTAGGTTAAGTCCCAAGAAAATAGGATGCCCTAATCATCCACAGGTTAATAATCTAAATATAATAATAATATTTTTGTCCAACATACTTCCAACTGTGTTATTGTCTGACATCAGCAATGACATCATTGGCAGCAGCTGTTCATCTCTCAATAAGTCTGATCATCTTCGTTCTCATTCACACTCTATTCTCCTCTTGAGTTTGTTTCAGCTCTTTTTGCCCTCGTGAACTGACATAACTGGTGTGATTGGAAATTTTTCAGGCTAGGGTCTATTTATTTTATATTTATCCGAAAAGTGGACACTGTACCTGTGGGGGGAGGAGGAGGAGGAGGAGGAGGAGGAGGAGGAGGAGGAGGAGAAGAAGAAGAAGAAGAAGAAGAAGAAGAAGAAGAAGAAGAAG